CAGTAACGCTTTCTGTTTTGGCAAAAGATAAACTGAGAGCATACAGCATAATGAATTTTCCCTTTTATGATCTAAAAAAGTAGTTCCCTGGCAGGTCTCTGCTATGGAGAATAGCTGTGGAAATAGCCTCCATTCCATACAATGCTGAAGAAATGTGTAATTTTAATTTCTCCATCTATGGCCAAACTACTGTGTCAGAATGAATCTTTGTTTTGAATTATATTTTCTGGCTTAATATTATTCTTAATAACTTCTGGTAAAACTTTAGGGTTTGGATTGGGTTTTTTCCCCCCAAAGCATGCCTTACATATAAGGAAGCGATCAGTATTGGTGTCTATTCCTGTTCCTGCAGGAGACGCTGGCAGGCAAGCGCGTATCTGGGGCTTGGGGGTGTGTACGTGATGGTGACCCCGGCGCTGCAGCCTTGGGCCAGGATGCCCTTCAGTCCGAAAGGCTGAAATCTTTGGGTCTGCCTCCGTGCTGTCACCCCCCCCCCCATGCTTGGTACATGTAGGCACACTGGTATTCATCACTGTGTTCTTTCTGGCCTGTAGACACGCTTCTGGCCTTTGGTAGTGGCACAAAATTCAGCAAAATTTTAGCACAGAAGTTGACAATTGTTCTTACTTGGTGAGGTCTTTGAGATCCTTATTTAATATCGCACAGATTTTAATCTTTAATTTATTGCAGTTTGTAAATATTCTTGTGCTTACAGTTAGTGTTTTGAGCTTTAATTTATTGAATTAGTCTGTTGGTACGTGTGTAGATACATAAATGTGCATACTTAGTAAATCACAGTCACAAGAAAAATATTTAAGAAATTGTAGCATTAAAATAAAGAGAAATATTCAGATTATATGTAGATTAAGAGAGGCATGGTAACAGCTTCTGCGTTGAACCTGAACAACATTTATTAAATAGAGATGGAGGCTGGTACAACATTAGCATAGTGAAAATATTTTTATGGTGTTTTGTTTTCCTTTGGAATTCTTTTGCATCTCCCAAGTACAGCCAAGAAGCTGACTGCTTCATAGTGTTGGTAACATTGGAGGTGATGGTCTGGAAGATGCGGTGAGGCAATGAGAGGTTTCAAGGTTAATTTGCAATGGGTGGTAATTGGTTTTGCCTTTGAACATGTGACCAAGAAAGTTGAAGGGATGCCCAGATGCTGATGAAATGTGACAGCACACAATTTTCAGTAATTGTCTTAATCTGTTCCTTTGTGCTACTCCAGGTAGACAATAGTTATGTACAAATGCTACAAGGAGTCGCATTTATTCTTTTTTATAAAGTACAATAAACCCACTGTTTGATTAAATAGGACTTTTTCACTGTGTAGCTATTTCGTAGTATTGAAATTCAACTCCTGACCTAAGGAAGCAAAGTGCAGAGTGAAGTACTTGAGCCAGATGGCAATATTGCTTTATTTCAGTGTCCCACTTCTCTCAAAAAGGCTAGAAGCATTGGATATTAAAATATTTGAGAACCTTTAATACTGAGTCTTCACTTAAGATTTATTAGTTATGAAGTCTGCTGCTTTTGTCCTTTAAAAACTTGCACAGCTGAAACAGAAGTAGCTGGATTGATGATTATAGTGAGCATTCACGCTGCAAAGATCACGGCTTTTTGTTGAGCAGTACCCCTTGGATGTTTTAATGTTACCAACGAGCACGCTGGCAGAAACGTGTGCCGTGCCATGCTGCACAGGAGGCTGTGGCTGCCACTTCAGTTAGCAGCTCGACTGAGAAAGGGTAGAAGTGCTACAAAATTTTAGTTGATGAGAAGCGTTACGTTTATTCTAACAGCATGGTACAATTTTTATCACCGAGTTCTGTTTGCTGCAAATTTGTTGAAATGTTGCTGCCTTTGGAATGTCTGTGTGGGTATGGAGCCACATGCAGGACTTCAGGCAGATTTTCCTCCTTAAAGACTAATCAATTCCTCATTCTTACAGAAGGCATCAACAATAATAATAGTTTCAGAAAATTATTTTCTTACAAAAGAGAGATTAGAAAATTATTAGAAGTATAATGAAACTGAATAAACTGAAATTAATAAATAGGACTAATATAGGGGTGAAGAACTTTTCTTCCCTGTCTTCATCTAAAGCTGCTGTTGTGGTAGGGTGTAACTTTAGAAGTAAGAGTTTACAATTTTAAAGCAGTTAATTTATTCAGTTTGTTAATTTGCCACACATATGGTGGGGCAGCAGTTACCCCAGGAAGATTAAATGTTTTATTGTGCAACACTCAGTCTAAAAAGGGACGTTTGCTATTGTAGTGCTCCCTGGGGGAGAGTGCGTCGAACAGAAGGGCAGTGTCTCAGCTCTGTTGGCTGCCCTCTTGATCATTCACAGTGCCAGCAGGTGGATGCAGGCTTTGAGTGTCTGTAGGGTCACCTGTGTGCTGAAAGCAGCGCTTTACCTAGTGTGTGTGTGTTTGTGCTCTTTGTGCACCCCCCTGTATTATTGTACTTCTGCTCCCAGAGGGCAGTGCTTCCCTAGAGCAGCAGCTCTCCCGGCTGGCACGCCTGTGCCTGTTGGGGGGGATTACCAGCCAGCCCGACTGAGGGAAGTGCTCCAGCTCATCCATACCCGAGTCTTGAGTTCTTTGTCCTTTAAAGGTTGTGCGAGCAATGTAAAGGAAGAAACCCCCCCCGCCCTGAAATCGGAGCTTAAGGTATCTTTTAACATTTGATTGCACTTACTGAAGATGAGAAATTGTTGCTTTTAACCAACGTCTGCTTTTTTATTTAGCACATGCACTGAAAACATCAAGTGAATGCCTCTCTGTAGTGTGTGCATGTATAATATATATATATATTCTACGTGTAAAATGTGTTGATGATACTTAAAAAGGTGGTGTCTCCCCTTTTGAGTAGATGTGGCTTTAACCTAACAGCCTGACTTGTAAAGGACAGTTCTTGGTTTTGAGCTAAATTAATGGCTCTCAACATGATGATTATGTAATACCGAAAATATCAAATAGCTTTTCCAAAAGCAGAGTCTTACTGTTGTTGTCTAAGTGTAGCTGGAATGACTATTAAACAGACTGGTTTATAGAGAATTTAAATAACTATGCAATTGTGCCACTACTAGATGAACTCGCTTCCGAAACTTGTTGTGGTGTGTACCTTCTAGATAACCAGTGCACGTACTACCCCAGCCACTAACCATTAAAATACAAATATCCACTCAAATTGCACAGAGTATAGATCCATTTATTAGAAGAATTTTAATGTGCATTGTGTTTGTCTTTCTTTTGGTTTTCAGTTTTCCTTTTCTGAGGGAAGTAAATACTATGTTCCATTTAAAAGCTTTAAATAAAGATTGATTGATTTATATACTCCTTGGTGTTCTTTTTTTGTGTCCATGACTCGATTGTTAGAAGTTCTGGTACTTTGTTTTCCTACAGATTTTTAATTTTGTGAGCCAGTGCATCAACTCTTTCTGCTGGGCTACTGGCTTCCCACACATTTTTTGCTCTTGGGGGATCTTAAACTCAAGGGCTCTCTAGTTCTTCCTGCTGTAAAGGGACAGAATCAGAACCAAGTCTTGGTGGCAGGATTAGTGAAAAATTATTTACCCCTCTGACTGGTGAACAATCCACAGCAGTTAAGAGGGGCAGAAAAGGTAGAAAAATCAAATGGATATGATAAAAATATTCAAAACCAGTATGTTGCACACACTGCAACTTGGAGTTCCTGTTTCAATTTCTAAAGTCTGTTTGCAACTTCATATGCTGCACAGACTCTGGCCAGCTAGCAGACAAGTGGCTAATGCCCAAGCGCCACATGGTGTGAGAGGCAGGAGTACTGTTTCAGTAAAGGTGGTGTGTTTACAAAGGCATCAAAAGATTATTCCTGCATTTTTTTATTTACTGTGTACAGGAAAAGATTGGTGTTTCCAAAGATAAGCTCTTCTGGTTACTTTTGAAATTGCTTTAGAGAATTTCTGGCAGATAAAGTTTTAAAATAAACACAGGAGATGGTACTAACTGCCTTTTCTTGATAAATTTAGTGTTTGTTGGACAGCATCAAAGGGCCCTGCAAAAGGAATCTGCTAATTCCATGTGCAGTATGGTGCAGCCAGGGGAACACAGGTAGTTTTGCCATCGCTGACACCAGCCTCTGCACCAGGATATGGTGTGTGCAGTGCTGCACGTGCCTGCCAGCTTCTGGCACGTGTGTTAGGCATCCACACAGCATAGTTAGAGGGCTGTGGAACATACTTAAACACTCGAAAGCCATTGCTAAAAGTATCCAGATGAAAAAATTATGAGTTGTATCTGTTCCATACCAAATTCAGTAAAAAATGGGCAACAGCAACAGCCTAGTTGATGACTGTTTCCACGTTGTTTTCAACAGCTCTAAGAGGAATACACTTTTCAGAGATCTGCGTTAGTTACTCTCTTGTGTCTGACGGCACAGATTATCGTCAGGCTTCCAGCAACAGGGCCCCTTAGCGCACAGTTACGCTTCATTTCCATCTTCTTGTCTTACATGTCTCTGTTCCTTGTCTTCACCTTATTTCAGCCCTGAGCAGACTCATCTGTCCAGGTAAGACAGAGCGTACATAAAAATGCCATTCCTCATTTCTAGCAGTGGCTTTATTATGAGAAGTTAGGATTGAGCTAATTGCTTACAGTTGTGTGGCACATCAGCTGTTGTTTCAATGAGGAACTTAAATCATGAAACATCTGCAGTACAATCCTAGACTTTTTTTGAACTCAAATTCTTCAGAATGGTTTTATACTTTCTGTATCAAAACTCTACAGTGACCCCCAGAGGCTATACAGAATTTTTTTAGGGTAAAATACTTCTGTAGAAAAATATGAGTCTATTATAATTAAAGTAGAGCATTTGATTGTTGAGCCAGTATTTCACAAAATACAATAAACATAATTGTAAATCTGAGAATTTGTTTTACATACATTCTTTTGCATATACAGTTCCTTGTCTGAAAAGCCACATTTGTGCAGGAAGATTTTGCCTTCCCATCTCATGTCATTCCTGACTTTATTTGAAAATTACAAGCATAACGGTCATTAAAACCAAGGTATGTAGAGTTGGTTTTACTGCAGCTGAAGCCCGTTCGAGTTCCTGGTAGAGGGGAGTTTTGGGACATGAAGCAGCTCCTGATCTCATGGAGACTTCCGAGAAAGAGAAGTCCTGTTTCAAAGCACTGAAGTTACCAGTATTGTCACGTATTTCCACTGTCTTCAGCATCGATTGAAATCCTGGTACAGTAGCCTAGGAGCAAACATGGAAGATTTCTTACTTGGTTTGAAATGTTGAGTTCAGCTGTGAAACAATCATTATCTAATGTGCTCATTTACGTTTTCAACATTCAGGAAAAAGTGTTCTAAACAGAAGTTTGAGAACATGGAACGAGAAGAGAGTAAAGTTTTCATGTTATAGCAACAAGACTAAACCCCCCGAAAACTGAGACAGAAACAGCAACAGAATATTTGTCTATAATTTGGGGGCATTATGTGCTGTACAGGAGAGGGAACCCTCACAGTTATGCTTAAGCGTAAGCTCTTGGCTGAGAGTGGGCAGAGACTACGCTGCGTGGATGTTCTCTAATACCAGCTACTGACAACCTCCACAGAGAAGCCGTTTCCACCCAGCGAAGTAACTGTCACCAATGGCAACGGCGTTGTCAGCCCATCACTGCCTCCTCACCCTTCAAGAGCTCTGGAGTTTGTTTCAAACACTTCAAGCTACTGTCACCATGGTCCAGACACTCACCCCAGCTGGCTCCACCATCCAGGTCAGATGAGTGCTTATCTCTAGACATTCTGGGGACTCGAAATCTTACTGTATAAAGTCTGCTTCCTGTTGGCTTATGCTTTAAAATATTCTTTTAAATCTGCTAAAGAGTATTTACAGCAGCTGTATATGACTTGAGCAAGTTCAGCTCATTCATCTACAAGGATGCTGTCTCACTGTGCTCAGGAACTCAATGCAATTAGAAACTAATTTAGTAAGACTGCACACTTACATTGATCACGTACGTCCCAGGCAAAAGGAGAAGAAAGTACTCCCCATGTTTATTTGTTCGGTAAGGGCAGACATGGGGCCGTCCTTTGGCTTCCACGATGGCATTGGGAATAGGATTCCCATTCTTATCGGTAACTTGACCCTTGACACCTATGAAAAAGGGTGAGGAGAGAAAGATCACAACCTGCAGCTGTGGTCAGCCTCCTTCTCTGGACAAGTCAGACTGTTTGTTGCTGGATGAACTCAGAGGGCATTTCAGTGATTTTGAGCACATCTAATAATATCACTAGTCATTTCTGTGTTACTGAAGGGAATTAAAATAGAAAATCCTTTATCGTTGTTAATAGCTGCCCTGACATGAAGTTAGAAAGCAGCACTGCAATCTCTGCTTCTAAGTCTCATTTGCTGAAAGCATCATCTATACTTTTTGTACTTGCCTCTTACTAAGGGGCTTCAATCTTCAATAAGAGGTTGGGGGTTTTTTGCTCTCCCCCCCTTTTTTTTTTTACATTTAAAATCAGTCAGCCTCTTATCTAGTACTTTTCCTAATGGCAGAATACCAACAATGCTTATGAAGTAATTTCCCTAAATTCTCACCTACCACATTCAAGGCAGCACTGGCATTGAGCAAAGATAAAACAGCAACTAGACATTCTGGGCAACAAACTACAAGATAAGCAACAGATTTATGCAAACTCTTCAACTAGTACCACTGCTCCACTCAGCAGCAGCTCTCTTCCAACTGGGAACTCAAGATCACACCGAGAAAGGCCTTAAAAATAAAATCCAGGCAGCAAAGACCCACAAAACACCGTGCATGTGCACGTGCACAGACTCATACATTTAGAGACCTCTGAAATAAATGGCTGCTCAGGAAAGCAGACTCCCTGAGGAGGGTGTATGGTAAGTTGGCCCCAGGGGCTTGTCCCTTGCTCCTGCCCAGCACATTTTTAAGCCCCTTGTGCCGCTGTCCCAGTGCCCATCGCCCCACACCTGACACACCTGTAAGCTCTCCTCCCTTACCCATCCCTGGCCTCGTAGCACTGGCTATTCAGAAGCAATAGCTCTCGAGTTCATGCCAGAGCTCCTCACCTGCGAGCTCTGACACTGACCCAGGCTGCTGAAGAGTTCCCACTTTGCCCACTGGGCTCAGCTTTACCTCCCTTCCCCGTTCGCGTACCCACCTAGATGCACTTGTTTTATATATTCGATCAGAGCAACTTTGTTGTCTCTCCAGAACTTTTCCAGCTCATCTGCTGGAGGATATTTACAGCATGACAGCTCCAAGGTGATTTCAAAACACTGTCCCCAGACATAGTTGTAATCTTGCATTCCACCTTAAAAGTGAAATAAAACAAACAGTGTTCAGCTGCAAAGAAACACCAAGTTCAAGCTAGAAGAAAAACAGGAAAGTTAAAATGTTGGTACTTGCACCACGCCTGTTAGGAAAGTAAATCAGACAAATTATTCCTCAATGCCACATTTGTATTTACTGCCTCCTGTGGAAAACCAAATTAATTACTCTAGTTACATGTGGAGTGTTGTTTTCTAAAGCACAGTGATGTTTCAGGAATCATGATTATTATGGCTGAGGAAGGGTGGGTCTTCTACTTAAATTCATTCAAGCACTCCCAACTAAATAGAGGAACATAAATTCCCAGGCTGGCATAGAGTTTGCCACTGACAAAGCCATCCTAAGAGCCTCTAGAGACTTTGAATTCAGACTGTGACAGCAACACGCAGTGCCGCAGTACACAGGACCCATATTCTATTTGTTTGTGCATAAACAGGAATGAAAATGTAGTAATGAAATGTAATTTTAGTAGTCAAACATTTTTAAGAAAGGATGATATATATGAGCAGAAGATTGTTTTTCTTTCTGAAAGGAGAAGACCTTGGTGCCACACCAGTACATGCATATGCACTTAATCTATACAGCTACGCAGGCCTTAAGAAAGGGCACAGAAGCTGCCAGACAGAGCAGAGACTGCGTCATTCACTTGTGTAACTGCTGACTGGGAGAGTCTGCAAACTCCTGTGTCCTGCTCAGAGAAATCCATGAATGTGTTAGCTTACTCCCCTCCAACAACCCTCTGCTCTGGGCAAAATTGCAGCCCTTTCATCATCACAGACGGCAGGAGAAAGTGAGAACATCATGTCTGAAGTAGCTTGAAAAAATACCACTAACATTCTTACCTTCCAGCTGGTACCAAGAATACCCGTTGGTAATGCCTTGTGGAAAGCTTTGTCTGTTGTCACACCCAGTCCCTTTGTGCATGCTGGCATGGTTGAAAGAATAGGTTTTTGCCAGATGAATAAAGACATCATCATCCGGAGACTTGCTATAGCCTTGCAAAGAGCCGGTAACTGCAGAATAAAGACAGCTGTCACCTAACCCTGCTTACTGGTAAAACAAACAGTGCTGGCTTATGTACAGGATAAACATCTCCCAGACAGTCATATCAGGCACTGAATTTTGATGGGGTTTATCAAAAGCTGGAAAAAACTTGCAGAATCCTTATACATTTTGCTTTGGTACAGCTCATGTTCCTAAAGCAAATCAGCCGTGGAGAAAAGAGTTTGTGACAGCTTACCTGAGTTACCATTATCAAAGGTGTAACTGGCAACCAGGGCACCCCCATGCAAGTTTGCTGAAAGAACAAATGTTTCATTTTTTATCCAGTCCATTACTGCTCGAGTCTCTGGCTGAATGCTAGCATTGTTATTTTCAAAGGCATCAGGAAAATTTCTGTTCAGATCTTCTCCATTCTTATTGTACCTTGGGAAGAGAGCAGACATTCCCATTACTGTTTTGCCTACAGACTTCCATATCGCCAGCTCCCAGTACTTAAAGATCTGTGGCATGCCAGTATCTTCAGGAAACAGGGAAGATGATCACTCCAAATCTTGTCAAGCATGAAGACAACTGACTTTCTGGCAGCACTGATATTTTCATAGCACACATGAAAACAATTTTTCCATTGTATTTCAGGTGGAAACTGTGAATAATATTTAACATGCATATAGGACACACACACCTACACATACGTGAATTAAAAAAACCTAAGCCAGAGAAGGAAGATATCCTTCTGTATGTGTTTTTCATACTTGTCTAGAAGACCAAGGTAACTATTGGATGGCTGTGTCCCTTGTCCTGCTCTCACTTTGGACATAGAGTAAAACAACTGACTCAAACACAGGATGTATTCTTTCTGTACCTGAAAGTTCAGCCTGTGCAAACGCTTTCTTCTTTTTTCACTCGGACAGGTCAGTAGAGAGTAGAGAGGCTATTGAGCCTCAGCTGTATTAATTTCTAAACTCAGTTAGTTAAATTCTCTCTATTTGATAGTGAGGGGATAAAAAAATACCACCCTCCATAAATTTGTTTCCTAATAAAAAGGAGGGCTTACACCAGTCACACAGAGATCTAAACTACCTAAACTACCTTTTCACTTGCTTCTGACATTGCCATAGCCAGTGATCCAAGAGAACTTCTAGCTCATGAGTTTGCTTTTTCTGCACATTCCAATTTTGTCTCTTTGGCATTTCTTCCCATTCTCTCACTCTCTCTTTTTCCCTTTTCTAGCTTGTTAAGCTTTTCCTCCCCCTTTTGGCCTTTTCAATAGTTACATTAAAGAATGCAAAAGTAGCACAGGATGCGGTGTTAGCTTACGGTTTTTTCTGCGTACGTTTTTTTTCTTAGCGCTACAATTAGCACAGCACCTATTAGAGCCAGCTCTGCTTGCACAACTTCTGCCTCTTACTAGATCTGCATTCAACATGATCTTTAAAGATGTTTCTAGAAGTCCATTCAAGAATCTTAGACACACCTTTTTCTCATTAAGAAGTGTTACAGAGTTCTCCAATTGAAATAGATCCCCGTGAGTGGAGTTTTCCTTCTTTTTTTGTAGCACCCCAAAGGCCTAAATATGTTCTTGTGCTTCTATTTGCAGCCTGGGTCTCCTGCCTAAAAGGTTAGGTCATTACACCATTCTGACCAATTTTCTCTAGCTGCGCCACATATAAACACCAGTCTGACTCAGTCTTCCAAAAACTCTGTGCCGTAACAGTGAGTCTTCAGAACAGCACAGGCCAAAATGAGCCCTAACACATTCTCTAGGCCATCCTTCCCACCAACTGTGATTCAGTCTCTTGGCTATCTCAGATTATCACTCCCCACCCATTTCCTTTGCCTACTCCCACCCTCCTAAGCCACCCTTACCTTCCTCGTGTGTAATAACAGTCAGCCACTTCGGTAGCTTCAAATCCATCAGGATTCATTGTTGGCATGATATGAATCCGGGTATTATTGAGTAACCGGGTAATAACTGGGTCACGTCTATAGCTGGTCACCAGGAATTCTATCAAATGGAGAAGGATTTCTCTCCCAACAGTCTGTAAAAAAAGAAACATAGATTTTATTTTGAGTCTGCTATGGAAGAAGAAGGAAAAAAAAAAAATCCACCACCTCGCATTCACAGGTTTTACTTACTGGATTACACAGAAATACAAGGCATACAAGAGCATTCTGGTCAACACTGTTTTATGCTCCCCCCTAAATGTATTTAAACTAATTTAACAGATGGAAAGGAGGCCCTGGAGGGTTTTCACAAGGGTTTTAAACCCAGATCAACCAGAGCTGTTTCTGCAACAGGAAACTGACTGTGTCAGCTGCATTGCTTAAATCCTGTCCAGATAAGGCACAGCCTTATCAAAAACTAAAACTGCATAGGCTGCCTGGTAAAGATCACGTGGGCTCCGAAACACACCACTGCATTCTCTCACTTGCTCTGCAGAGTCAGCTCTGTGCCGATGCACAAGGGACCCGGGACCTTCATGGAAGTGTCAGTGCTGTGCATCAGCACTCGGCAGTGATGGTTCAGAAGAAAGGAAGGAGACACCTTCCATGTTTTCCAGGGTGCTATAGAGCAGGGTTTTTTTTCTTGTTGATCCCCTTTTATGGGAAGTCAACTTTAAAACAGGATCAAGAGAGGCTCCATAGACACTTCTGTTATATTGGCTGTTATGTTGTTTTATTTTAATGCCATGAACACAGGCATTGGGGAAACAAAACAAGTATATATAAATCCTTAGAAAAAGAGATGGAAGGACATTTGGATGCAGACTTTGGATCAAGAAAAGGCAGGGGCACAGAAAAAGCTAAATAAATACTTTGTTCATTTAAGTTCAATAGGTCATGAAAGCTAGCAGGACATCTCCCTTTATTCTACTCTGTCAGCTTTCAGGCAAAACAGTGGCAAGTTCCAGCTCCCGTGAGTTCAGAACAAGCCTATTCTACCCCTGAAACCACTGGTACAGCGTTCACTGGACCATACTTTTCAGGAGCACTTTCTACAGCACTGTGACCCATGCCTCAAGGGTGCTGTAGGGTTGCTAAGCCCTGGCTGGGATGGGAACAAGTCAAGACTTACAACTCAGCATGCTCTGGAGATAATTTATCTCTACGTTATCTCCAAACAATAAATCACTGCAGGCTCTATTTCAGAGCTACAGCTTCTCAGTATCTTTTAGAATCAGTCTAGCATCACTAAAATGGAAATACTGTAAAGAAATTTTTTTTTTCCTAGAGTGAGAAACATGGAGTGGCATTTCTGGCTGAACCTGGTATCACAAATAAACATCTTGCTTTCAAACTGGTAGAGACTAAGGTAAAGATCGGTGAAATCAGACAGGGGAAAAGGAATATTTCTCCACAGCTATTTGCTGCACTAATATCTTGTTAAATGTTCACATCGGTGCCTTTTAAGTGGCAAATCCTGCTCTGGGTGTTCAAGTAAACACAGACACCATCCAGCAGGAGTTTGGCCAGCATGAGCTGGGTCAGTACACGATGGGGCAAGGAGGGCTGGGTGTAACTGCTGCTCAGGTTGGGAACAAACCATATCTCACCAGTTAGCTGGCAATTGCTGTTTATCCAGGAGCAACAAACAAACAATGTAGTGCTAAACATGACTCCACTAAGTTGTGGAACACACAGTTTTAAGTGTCATACTTGAAGGCAGCTGTGGTCTCTGAGTTGGTACTTGAGCAATTCTGACATGCTGTTTGTGCAGGGGAAAAAGAAGGATCTCTTCCCACCCTGTCCCCCACAGATTTGTTCCCAAGTTTTCTAACCTTTGCCTGTCAGCTCCCAGTGGTCTCCTGCAAGCCACCACCCAGTAATCTACTAGGGGAAGCTGCATTACGCAAATGCATTTACTGTCCCAGACACTACAGCAAATGGGCTTTGACAAGGGGAAAAAGGTACCTAATTTCCTCCCTTCCCAGTAGCTTTCAAAACAGCACCTGAATACCTGAAAGCAGACTGCTCTACAGGTTTGATAGATGTACTCTGTGAAATTTAAGAAGGGATGCAACAAAACCTGTCTTGTACAGGCAGCTCAGTTCTAGCTCTGGGTGATAGATATCTTGGGAAGCATACAGAGCAGGGGGGGATAAAGGAGGGGAGAGATGTCAGCCAAATCATGGCCCTGGGCATGAGAGATAAAGCTAGCAGACTCAGGAGCAATGAGAACAGCCCTACCACAGAGATAGCTAAACTACAGACAAGACTGGACTGCTCCTTGGAAGAACTGGGAAAGTGCCTCTGCTTCTACTGTACCTCTCTTCAGTGCCTGACAAAAACACATCCAGAAAAGAAAGGGTAGAGAAGCAGGAACAGGAAGAGGAAAAAAGAAAAAGAAAAGCAACAAGAAAAGGTGGTGGAAAAGAACAATGTTTATAAAGAATGGAAATTGACCAGTTTTTCATAGATAATGTTGTTTGCACCTAAGAGTTAAACCCAGACTTACTTCCATATATAGTGTTTTAAAAACTAACCCTATTTTATAGGATTTCTCATAAAGCTATTGTTGTACCTGAGTAAGTACAGTAAACAATTCAGCTAATCTCTGCCACAGAGACCTGGTACTTTGATCATTCCCCAGTGGGTGAAGAGTGTGTTTATCAGCACTCTGTTTTCAGGGGGGGTGACAGAGGGGTGGTTTTATTTTGGTCCAGAGTACCCTGCATTTCTTGAGAAAGCACATCTGGAGGTGTTTGAAGGGAGGGAAAGCTTCAGTTTCTGCAAACATAAAGCTCAAGTTTTGATTAAGCCCTCAGAAGGCATCTCCCACCCAGCCAAGATTTACCCTGATTCTAGGCAGGTCAGCCGTATGCGTGGAGAAAAGTTATGAGACATTAACTTTTACTTTAGAGCTTCAAATAAAGGATCTAGACACCATGGAGGTACGTTGCTGACAGTAAAGTCAAGGACAGACACCATAACCTGCCTCTAGTCTAATATGAAGAGGTAGAGAGCAGGGGACAGCCTTCATAATGCTCTGGGGCTTTGAGGAGGCATGACGACTGTTTTAATGGCAGTATCCCAGGGGCGATGCCCAGGTGTATTGTTTTGCTGTAGCTCAGATGAGGGGTTACAAAGGAAAACCCTTTCTCCCACCTCTAGGGACGCAGTTAGACATTAAGTTTCTCTGTGCACTTTCAGCTCTCAGTTTGTGTGCCCCAAAGGGAGAGGGTGAGCAGGAAAAGCTTTCAGTGACCCTCAGGGGAAGTCCTGAATGAAGCAGCATGCGTATGTCAGGGTATGGACCCACACTGTAGACAGGGGTGTGACTGCTGCTTCTGTAGACGTACCCCTTAAAATTGCCAACTACCACTTCTGGCATGGCTAGGTTTGGACCCTGCTCAGCTACTGAAGGGCTTGCTCAGGAAGCCCTAGTGGCAGCCAGTTAAAAGATTAAGGTTAGCTCCAATTGCACCTGCACTCTAACACTTTAGTGCAGCACCCCTATTTTTAAAACATTTTTGTTACCACATGATACAGACCTAATACCAGGGCACGAGGGGTGGATAGACTCTGCCCATTTTTACGATTAAAATTCTTTCGTTAAAGGTGGCCTGGTTTTTAACTTGAACTATGTTGAAAGATAGATCCAAACCATCAGGTAGGACCTGTTTCAGAGCAACATGGTGTTGCCAGTTTCTTTGCTCCAGCCCTGACTGCTCTGAAGACCTAGGGCAGCATACCAGGCACAACCCCGCCTAAGGAAGTGGAGTGGCGGCAGAGAAACTGGCAGGCCATCCTGGTCCACCACTTACATACCACACTTAGAAGATGTTATTTTTTAACACTTGTACAGAACTAATGATTATGCATGGCTGCGACACACCCCACTGTCTTTAACACTGATGTCTTTTATTAAAGGAGGACAAAGTGACTGTGCAAATACCGTTTGGCATGTACCCATTTATTATAGAATAGCAGCAAGCACTACGGAAATATGAGAACTACCACATGTATGAGAGGGAATTGCAATTCCTTGGTTTATCACTAAAGGAAATGGCAACATCTAGCCTGCTTTGGAACTAGTAACTGGCAGAAGATGTTACCACCTGGACAAATTCCATAGGCTTCAGGCTTCTCAGCATAGGCTGCACCTGGCTGAGAAACTGATTGCTTTTTTTTTTCCTCCTCACTCAGATAAGGAAAAAAGTAACTGGGGCAAGGTAGCAGCCCTTCCTGTATTGAAGGAGCTCTCAGCAGCATCCAGCTTTTTCAAAAATCTGAAGTTAGCAAATAGATTTGGTTGTTTTGAATTTTGAACTCTCCAGTGCCTCTGACCTTATTAAATATCGTGTCAGCTTACACCTGAAGCCAGGTGGAAAGTAGTTCACTATGCAAGAAATATTTTTTTTCCATTCTCTTTTCTAGAGTAGATATTTGTTTCCCTGCCGCCTCTCTTCCATACTATATTGCACAGTACAAACGACACAAGAAAATTCCTTATAGCAGATTGTGTAGTATGTGGACACAACTCCTTGCCCAACCGGGTGATAAAAAAATGCCTTTTTTTTTTTAATAGTGGTATTTCAATAGTGTAAATGCAGCTTCCATTCATTTTTTTGGAAATGAGAGTGAGAAATTCTACACAGAATCATTAACTGTGTTTGGTTTCTTTGAGCCCCAATTATATTGATCACAAATAAACCTACCTCTGCTCTCAGTCACACAAGCCCTAACAAGCCACCATACCTCAGGAAATCCTTCTGGGGATATGAGTCTGTCTATAACGACATGGAAAATGGGATCTAGTTGCTTCAGCTTAAATCTCAAGACAAGCCAGCAAGATAAATACATCCTTTCACGTAGGCTAGCTCAGGCCCATCAGTACAGGCTCAGCTTCATGCAATGAAGGAGGCAAAATACTGTTACACTAAGAAAAGAAACTGATCACAAGTGGATGATTTAGTTGGTTGGTATCAGCA